AGTGACGTTGGGTCCCTCTTGGGTGAACCAAGGTTACCCCTCTGGGACTCTTGGGGTTCCCCCTGGGATCTTGGGGTGTCCCCCCAGTTCTTGGGGTCCCCCCCAGGAGATTGGGGTCCCCACCTGATCTCGAGGTCCCCTCCAGGGTCTCAGTGTCCCCCTTGGTGTCCCCACGGGTGTCTTGGTGTCCTCTTAGTGACGTTGGGTCCCTCTTGGGTGAACCAAGGTTACCCCTCTGGGACTCTTGGGGTTCCCCCTGGGATCTTGGGGTGTCCCCCCAGTTCTTGGGGTCCCCCCCAGGAGATTGGGGTCCCCACCTGATCTCGAGGTCCCCTCCAGGGTCTCAGTGTCCCCCTTGGTGTCCCCACGGGTGTCTTGGTGTCCTCTTAGTGACGTTGGGTCCCTCTTGGGTGAACCAAGGTTACCCCTCTGGGACTCTTGGGGTTCCCCCTGGGATCTTGGGGTGTCCCCCCAGTTCTTGGGGTCCCCCCCAGGAGATTGGGGTCCCCACCTGATCTCGAGGTCCCCTCCAGGGTCTCAGTGTCCCCCTTGGTGTCCCCACGGGTGTCTTGGTGTCCTCTTAGTGACGTTGGGTCCCTCTTGGGTGAACCAAGGTTACCCCTCTGGGACTCTTGGGGTTCCCCCTGGGATCTTGGGGTGTCCCCCCAGTTCTTGGGGTCCCCCCCAGGAGATTGGGGTCCCCACCTGATCTCGAGGTCCCCTCCAGGGTCTCAGTGTCCCCCTTGGTGTCCCCACGGGTGTCTTGGTGTCCTCTTAGTGACGTTGGGTCCCTCTTGGGTGAACCAAGGTTACCCCTCTGGGACTCTTGGGGTTCCCCCTGGGATCTTGGGGTGTCCCCCCAGTTCTTGGGGTCCCCCCCAGGAGATTGGGGTCCCCACCTGATCTCGAGGTCCCCTCCAGGGTCTCAGTGTCCCCCTTGGTGTCCCCACGGGTGTCTTGGTGTCCTCTTAGTGACGTTGGGTCCCTCTTGGGTGAACCAAGGTTACCCCTCTGGGACTCTTGGGGTTCCCCCTGGGATCTTGGGGTGTCCCCCCAGTTCTTGGGGTCCCCCCCAGGAGATTGGGGTCCCCACCTGATCTCGAGGTCCCCTCCAGGGTCTCAGTGTCCCCCTTGGTGTCCCCACGGGTGTCTTGGTGTCCTCTTAGTGACGTTGGGTCCCTCTTGGGTGAACCAAGGTTACCCCTCTGGGACTCTTGGGGTTCCCCCTGGGATCTTGGGGTGTCCCCCCAGTTCTTGGGGTCCCCCCCAGGAGATTGGGGTCCCCACCTGATCTCGAGGTCCCCTCCAGGGTCTCAGTGTCCCCCTTGGTGTCCCCACGGGTGTCTTGGTGTCCTCTTAGTGACGTTGGGTCCCTCTTGGGTGAACCAAGGTTACCCCTCTGGGACTCTTGGGGTTCCCCCTGGGATCTTGGGGTGTCCCCCCAGTTCTTGGGGTCCCCCCCAGGAGATTGGGGTCCCCACCTGATCTCGAGGTCCCCTCCAGGGTCTCAGTGTCCCCCTTGGTGTCCCCACGGGTGTCTTGGTGTCCTCTTAGTGACGTTGGGTCCCTCTTGGGTGAACCAAGGTTACCCCTCTGGGACTCTTGGGGTTCCCCCTGGGATCTTGGGGTGTCCCCCCAGTTCTTGGGGTCCCCCCCAGGAGATTGGGGTCCCCACCTGATCTCGAGGTCCCCTCCAGGGTCTCAGTGTCCCCCTTGGTGTCCCCACGGGTGTCTTGGTGTCCTCTTAGTGACGTTGGGTCCCTCTTGGGTGAACCAAGGTTACCCCTCTGGGACTCTTGGGGTTCCCCCTGGGATCTTGGGGTGTCCCCCCAGTTCTTGGGGTCCCCCCCAGGAGATTGGGGTCCCCACCTGATCTCGAGGTCCCCTCCAGGGTCTCAGTGTCCCCCTTGGTGTCCCCACGGGTGTCTTGGTGTCCTCTTAGTGACGTTGGGTCCCTCTTGGGTGAACCAAGGTTACCCCTCTGGGACTCTTGGGGTTCCCCCTGGGATCTTGGGGTGTCCCCCCAGTTCTTGGGGTCCCCCCCAGGAGATTGGGGTCCCCACCTGATCTCGAGGTCCCCTCCAGGGTCTCAGTGTCCCCCTTGGTGTCCCCACGGGTGTCTTGGTGTCCTCTTAGTGACGTTGGGTCCCTCTTGGGTGAACCAAGGTTACCCCTCTGGGACTCTTGGGGTTCCCCCTGGGATCTTGGGGTGTCCCCCCAGTTCTTGGGGTCCCCCCCAGGAGATTGGGGTCCCCACCTGATCTCGAGGTCCCCTCCAGGGTCTCAGTGTCCCCCTTGGTGTCCCCACGGGTGTCTTGGTGTCCTCTTAGTGACGTTGGGTCCCTCTTGGGTGAACCAAGGTTACCCCTCTGGGACTCTTGGGGTTCCCCCTGGGATCTTGGGGTGTCCCCCCAGTTCTTGGGGTCCCCCCCAGGAGATTGGGGTCCCCACCTGATCTCGAGGTCCCCTCCAGGGTCTCAGTGTCCCCCTTGGTGTCCCCACGGGTGTCTTGGTGTCCTCTTAGTGACGTTGGGTCCCTCTTGGGTGAACCAAGGTTACCCCTCTGGGACTCTTGGGGTTCCCCCTGGGATCTTGGGGTGTCCCCCCAGTTCTTGGGGTCCCCCCCAGGAGATTGGGGTCCCCACCTGATCTCGAGGTCCCCTCCAGGGTCTCAGTGTCCCCCTTGGTGTCCCCACGGGTGTCTTGGTGTCCTCTTAGTGACGTTGGGTCCCTCTTGGGTGAACCAAGGTTACCCCTCTGGGACTCTTGGGGTTCCCCCTGGGATCTTGGGGTGTCCCCCCAGTTCTTGGGGTCCCCCCCAGGAGATTGGGGTCCCCACCTGATCTCGAGGTCCCCTCCAGGGTCTCAGTGTCCCCCTTGGTGTCCCCACGGGTGTCTTGGTGTCCTCTTAGTGACGTTGGGTCCCTCTTGGGTGAACCAAGGTTACCCCTCTGGGACTCTTGGGGTTCCCCCTGGGATCTTGGGGTGTCCCCCCAGTTCTTGGGGTCCCCCCCAGGAGATTGGGGTCCCCACCTGATCTCGAGGTCCCCTCCAGGGTCTCAGTGTCCCCCTTGGTGTCCCCACGGGTGTCTTGGTGTCCTCTTAGTGACGTTGGGTCCCTCTTGGGTGAACCAAGGTTACCCCTCTGGGACTCTTGGGGTTCCCCCTGGGATCTTGGGGTGTCCCCCCAGTTCTTGGGGTCCCCCCCAGGAGATTGGGGTCCCCACCTGATCTCGAGGTCCCCTCCAGGGTCTCAGTGTCCCCCTTGGTGTCCCCACGGGTGTCTTGGTGTCCTCTTAGTGACGTTGGGTCCCTCTTGGGTGAACCAAGGTTACCCCTCTGGGACTCTTGGGGTTCCCCCTGGGATCTTGGGGTGTCCCCCCAGTTCTTGGGGTCCCCCCCAGGAGATTGGGGTCCCCACCTGATCTCGAGGTCCCCTCCAGGGTCTCAGTGTCCCCCTTGGTGTCCCCACGGGTGTCTTGGTGTCCTCTTAGTGACGTTGGGTCCCTCTTGGGTGAACCAAGGTTACCCCTCTGGGACTCTTGGGGTTCCCCCTGGGATCTTGGGGTGTCCCCCCAGTTCTTGGGGTCCCCCCCAGGAGATTGGGGTCCCCACCTGATCTCGAGGTCCCCTCCAGGGTCTCAGTGTCCCCCTTGGTGTCCCCACGGGTGTCTTGGTGTCCTCTTAGTGACGTTGGGTCCCTCTTGGGTGAACCAAGGTTACCCCTCTGGGACTCTTGGGGTTCCCCCTGGGATCTTGGGGTGTCCCCCCAGTTCTTGGGGTCCCCCCCAGGAGATTGGGGTCCCCACCCGATCTCGAGGTCCCCTCCAGGGTCTCAGTGTCCCCCTTGGTGTCCCCACGGGTGTCTTGGTGTCCTCTTAGTGACGTTGGGTCCCTCTTGGGTGAACCAAGGTTACCCCTCTGGGACTCTTGGGGTTCCCCCTGGGATCTTGGGGTGTCCCCCCAGTTCTTGGGGTCCCCCCCAGGAGATTGGGGTCCCCACCCGATCTCGAGGTCCCCTCCAGGGTCTCAGTGTCCCCCTTGGTGTCCCCACGGGTGTCTTGGTGTCCTCTTAGTGACGTTGGGTCCCTCTTGGGTGAACCAAGGTTCCCCCTCTGGGCATGTTGGGGTCCTCCCCATGATTTTGGGGTCCCCCCCAGGATATTGGGGTCCCCCCCCGGGATCTCGGGGTGTCCCCCCATGGGTCACCCACCGGGCTTGCGCTTGAGGAGGTGCTCGGCCTCGGCAGCGGTGACGTGTGACACGGTGGTGAGGACGTGGGCGCAGTGGGCGGCCGCCCGCTCCAGGCAGTACCGGTGGTAGATCTGCCGCTCCCCCGCCTCCTTGTCCACGTCGAACTGGCACCCCCGGGGGACACCCGTGTCACCAGGGCCACCAGTGCCACCAAGGTCATCAGGGCCACCAGGGCCACCAGGACCACCAGTGTCACCAGGGCCACCAGGGCCATCAAGACCACCAAGGTCATCAGGGCCATCAGGGTCACCAAGACCACCAAGGTTACCAGGACACCAGGGCCACCAAGGTCACCAGTGCCATCAGGGTCACCAGGGCCATCGGGGTCACCAGGGCCACCAGCGTCACCAGGACCACCAGTGCCATCAGGGTCACCAGGGCCATTGGGGTCACCAGGGCCATTGGGGTCACCAGGGCCACCAAGGTCACCAGGTCCACCAGGGCCACCAGGGCCACTGGGGCCACCGGTGTCACCGGGGCCACCGGAGTCACCAGGGTCACCAGTGCCATCAGGGTCACCAGGGCCATCGGGGTCACCAGGACCATCGGGGTCACTGGGGTCACCAGGGCCACCAGGGCCACCAGGGCCATCAGGACCACCAAGGTCATCGGGGCCACCAGGGCCACCAGGGCCATTGGGGTCACCAGGGCCATCGGGGTCACCAGGACCACTGGTGTCACCAGTGCCATCGGGGCCACCAGGGCCACCAGGGCCATTGGGATCACCAGGACCACCAAGGTCACCAGGACCACCAAGGTCACCAGGACCACCAGGGCCACCAGGGCCACTGGGGCCACCGGTGTCACCGGGGCCACCGGAGTCACCAGGGTCACCAGTGCCATCAGGGTCACCAGGGCCATCGGGGTCACCAGGACCACCAGTGCCATCAGGGTCACCAGTGTCACCAGGGCCACCAAGACCACCAAGGTCATCAGGGCCATCAGGGCCACCAGTGTCACCAGGGCCACCAGTGTCACCAGGGCCATCGGGGTCACCAGGACCATCGGGGTCACTGGGGTCACCAGGGCCACCGGGGCCACCAGGGCCATCAGGACCACCAAGGTCATCGGGGCCACCAGGGCCACCAGGGCCATTGGGGTCACCAGGGCCATCGGGGTCACCAGGACCACTGGTGTCACCAGTGCCATCAGGGCCACCAGGGCCACCAGGGCCATTGGGATCACCAGGACCATCGGGGTCACCAGGGCCACCGAGACCACCAAGGTCATCAGGGCCACCAGGGCCATTGGGGTCACCAGGGCCATCGGGGTCACCAGGGCCATCGGGGTCACCAAGACCACCAAGGTCATCAGGGCCATCAGGGTCACCAAGACCACCAAGGTTACCAGGACACCAGGGCCACCAGGTCCACCAGTGCCATCAGGGCCACCAGGACCACCAGCGCCACCAGGACCACCAGTGCCACCAGGACCACTGGTGTCACCAGGGCCATCAAGGTCACCAGGGCCACCAGTGTCATTGGGGCCACCAAGACCACCAAGGTCACCAGGACCATCAGGGCCACCAGTGCCACCAGGACCACCAGGGTCACCAGGACCACCAGTGCCATCAGGGCCACCAGGACCACCAGCGCCACCAGGACCACCAGTGCCACCAGGACCACTGGTGTCACCAGGACCATCAAGGTCACCAGGGCCACCAGTGTCACCAGGGCACCAAGACCACCAAGGTCATCAGGGCCATCAGTGCCACCAGGGCCATCGGGACCACCAGTGCCATCAGGGTCACCAGAGCCATTGGGGTCACCAGGGCCACCAGGGCCACTGGTGTCACCAGGACCACCAAGGTCACCAGGACCACCGGCGTCACAAGGACCACTGGGGTCACCAGGACCACCAAGACCACCAAGGTCATCAGGGCCATTGGGGTCACCAGGGCCACCAGTGCCATCAGGGCCACCAGGGTCACCGGTATCACCCATGTCCCTTTGTCCCCCCATGTCACCTTTTCCCCCCATATCCCCTTTTCGTCCCCATTGTCCCCCCGTGTCCCCATGTCCCCCCCCGTGTCCCCGTGTCCCCCCCGTGTCCCCGTGTCACCTCGTTGCCCAGTTTGGTGCCCATCTCCACGGCCACCCAGGTGGCCACGCTCATGTCCCCAAGGATGGGGACATGTCACTAAGGTGCTCCCTGTTCCTCAGGGCTCCCTGGGACATGTCCCCAGGGTCCCCTACTGTCCCCAAGGACCCCTGTGCCACCTTCAGGTCACCAGGGCCACCCCTCATGGTGTCCCACACCCCTTGCGTCCCTGGGGCTCCATGCCCCCATGTCCCCCTCCATGTCCCCACGTCCTACTCCGTGTCCATGTGTCCTTCACCC